CATCACATTTAGGCCAGAAAATAATCCTGTGATATAGATAATATCCTCATTTTACAGATGAGAAAACCCAGGCCTAGGGAGATCAGCTAATGCCTAAGGCCACACAGCCTGTGAGTGACAGAGCTGAGATTCCAACCCCAGCAGTCTGGCTCCCAAAGTGCATGTTCTGTACTGCTGTGCACCGTGGCCTTCTGGGGGTGGGGGGAGAGGAGGCTTCACTTCAGTGCCACAGCCATGTCCTCGTCATCCTCCCTAGCAGTGCTTTCCTCCCTGGTCACAACATTAATTCTTCCTAAGCCCCATTCTCCAGCCATGCCCAACTCATTCTGCTTGAACAACATTCCAGAGAGGAAGAGACCCAGACGGTTTGTTCACCCCTGCACTGATGCTTGGGACGCCTCACTACTCTGCCCAATTTTCTCTTGGCATGAGAAGTTTGTTTTCTATGAACTTACCTCTTCTTATTTGCAAGTCAACTAATGTGTTTATTTTATCTAAGCTTTGTGTAGTTAAAATTCTCAAGGATTATACACCAAAATTTATTAACAGCAGCTAATAAATTTACTGGTAATTTTAATTTTTCTGTTCATACATTTTTGTGTTTTCCAATATGTATATAAAATAAACATATAAAGTATATAGTCATAAAAAATAATATATTTCATAAAATACAATTATAGACTATGTTAGACAGCAGTTTCCAGCGAGTCAGGAGGATGCATCGTACAGCGATGAGAGAACATGGTTGCCTTCACCTGAACACCAGAAGGTCAGATGTATCCTCAGGCATCCTCCAGTTCCTTCCCCGTTTGGTAAATCTATCACCTATCACTAATTACTGTCTTTCAAATTATATTTTAGCTACACATCCTTTCTTCCAACAAAAAAGAGAAGTACGATATATTTAGCAAATACTACAGATTCTCCCTTAAGGGTTAAACCAGTTGAGATGGAGATGGAGAACCTGGGCCCTGTCAACTAACTCACCAGCCCATCAAAAGACAACTCTCAAGGAGCTTCTGGAACCGCTTCTGGCTCTAGAGAACAGTTCTCCACTGGAACCATTGGTCTACCTGACTCTGCACATTTGGACTTCATATTTCCCGAGGTTGCACAGATAAGGAGCTCTATAAGTTTACTACGTGTTATGTAACATAATGATTTCCTTCATTTGCCCTAAAATTTTCTACTGATCTCCTTTTTCACATCCAAAATCAATACACATGACTAATCCAACTTATAACTGAATAGTTATGTCTGGCCAGAAATCCTTATTATCTTAGAGGAGGCTTTCAGCTTAGAAAAGAGAAAGATTTGTTTGTTGATGCTTCTCTCTAAACTCCCTAGTTTCTGCCCAAAGGTTAACAAATCCAGTGCCCTTCTGTCATCCGTCAAGTTGATGAGCGGAATATTTGGTAGTTCCGATTTACGGTCTGAAACTCTCTCCTCTCTTGACTTCTGTCATGTCCCGGTCAACTGGTTTTCCCCCTCATATCGTTTTCTTCTTCTCTTCCTTGTTTGCTGACAGTTTCCTTTGGCATTCAGTGCTCTTTCTCTGAGCTACTGCTTTTCTCTTGTTTCATTCTCCAGACAACTAATCCATTTCCAGGGTTCAATGATCACTGCACTGTAGATGGTGCTTGAATTGGCGTGTGCTTCGGTCTCTCATACAGGGCCCGGTGCTTTCGCTCCAATATGTGTGGATATTTCTACCTTGACCTCATTCAGTATGCTTAGCTCCAGAATCACATTATCACCACTAATTCCTGCTCCAGCGTCTCTGTTCTGCTATTGGCAACACTATTTTCCCAATCGCCAAACTTGGAAACTTGGAATTTTATTTTTTATAACCTTTAGTCCCTAAATATTTTAGATTTTACATTCAGAACTCCTCTTCGTGTGTCTTTGCTTATTACTTCATGCAAAACAATGCCTTCTTACCACATACTTGTTAATCAATAAATACTTCTCAAATCTGGATCTACTCCAACTCTGTCAGAGAAATTCCAAAAGTTTGTTAACATTCTAAGAAATCTCTTCCTTCTGTCTCTCTTCTCGATAATCTATCCAATATACTGTTGATTTAATAATGAAAACACCAATTGAAGTTCGGATAGCAGCTACCGTGGGGAGAGGAGGATAATAGCCAGGCCAGCATGGGTTTCTGGAGTATCAGGAATGTTCTCTTTCTCGCGTGGGCTGGTGTTTACAGGGGACAGTGCACTCTTCATCAAGCATGATTTGCGTACTTTTCTCTACGAGTATTATTAACGTATGTTTGGATCGACATAAAAGAAGAAAGACGTTCTTGCTGATCGAGTGATTTTTAAAAAGATGAAGATTCTCTCCAAAATTTTAGATAGGCAAAAAATCTTAATTCCAAAAGTATCAGGTATAGGATGCGAGAAATGGGGCTATCACCGGAAGGAGGGCCAATTAGTATGTGTTGTTAAGTCGGAAACGTGTGCTCCTAACAAATGGACAGTTCCGCTTCCAGAAACATACTTAGGGAAACTTTTGTACTTGTGTGCAAGGAGATGCGGGCAACTATGTTCCTTGCAGGACAGCTTACAGTAGGAAAAAAAATTAAAGCAACCTAAATGCCCATCAACAGGATGTGCTATATAAAAAAATGTGAGTTTTTTATATAACAAAATCTTAAACAGTTAAATATATACATTTATAAATACAGAGTTCTAAAAATATAATAGTGGATGAAAAACAAGTACAGAATATTTATAACATAACACTGCATACATTTTTTAAAGTATATGACAGTACTATATGTATTATTCTTTGACACATATATGTTACTGTATTTTTAAATGGCTGAAGGGAACACTACACTTTAGTTGTGAGAGCAGCAACCTCTGGGGGAGGGGATAAAGGGACGAGGATTGAGGATGGGGACAAAGGAGGCTGTCGCTTCATCTTCATTATCTTGTTTTTTTTTTAAGCAAATGTGACAAAATGATAACATCTGTTCATTCTGGGTGACAGCTCACAGGGTGTTAGTTATGTTGCTCCTTGTAATTTTCACTTTTGTTGAATTTCTGAAAATGAAAACATATCGTTGAGATAACAGCATCTTTCATCATTTAGTCTTACTTATTATTTAGTTATTTTATGTTCCCGTTTAAGAAAAATGTATATAAATATAAATATGGCCGAGATAGCCGAATTTCCGTTTTTTGTTTGTTTATGTGCACAAAGCAGGGTTGTTTTATTTAACATTCTTTGGTATCAAAATGTGGCCTTTATACAAATTTGTAAGGAGTAAATCATGAGGGCTCCCAGTTCTACCACAGTCTGTATATTAAGAACGTACTTCCTGTGATAGACTGCTCATAAGTCTTGATCACTGGAAGCATCCGTTTTTATTGGAGCCAAAATAGCCACAAGCAAATAGAGAAACAAGAAGTCAAAAAGATTTCCTCTTTGGTGCTAATGATTTGTTGGTATATGATTGTTAAGACTGAAGATCTGAAACCACCAGTGTTTATTGGCTCAGTCTCCAGTATGTCTCTTCCAAGGTCATTTCCACAAAACTGACAAAAGACGGGGACCCTGCCTTTTCCACCACTGACAGTGCTTCCTGCATTAAACCCCGAGCAGCACAGAAGCCCAACTCTGGCAGGAAGGAGCGTGCTTTCAAAATCTATTATAACAGGATGGTGGACAGATGGACTGACCACTATGATGGAGAGTGCACTTTTACAGACATATCACACACACCACGGCTAGTAGTCCTTGGGTGGGTAGTCTCGCTGCCTTTGGAATTACACCCAAAGTGATTGCTGTGACCATATTTGAAAACTCAACAGATAAATGTAGACTTAAAACAGACTAAAAATTATACAGTTAGGCCCTAAGTTGAGGCTTTTAAACATAGACAGGTAGGAGTGAGGTGGGGGACCTCCTTACTTGCCCTCAGGGATCCACAAGGATCTTCAACTAGAGTAGAATGCACGTTACTCACTCCTCCCCACAAGCGGGGGACAGAGGGAGTTACCCCAGAGAAGCATCTAACATGCTCAATTCAGACCCTTTTGTCTCTCGTTTTGGAACCAGCGTGTCCCCAGGGTAGGTGGAAGCACTCTGGTTTGCTCTGAGCCGTGCACTCTGAGGGAGCCCGATGGGCGTCCAGCAAGATGAGGGATGGATGTTTTAGTCTTTCGAAGTCAAGGGTCAGTTATTAGCAAGGCCTCTGCCACAGATCTGAAACTATGCCCTCTCCACCCAACTTTATCTGTAACAAAAGCAACGAGTTTGGCTTTTGTTTGGCCTCTACCTCTCAGTTAGTTCCAAACTCAGCAGGGGAAGGGAGATAATATTAATTGTTCCCCTCAAAAACCTGTTTGATCAATTAATATAAGACCTCAAGAGGATTAGTGAATGTGATCCATAATACCAGCCAATAATTTATGGACCAGATTCATTCTTGCAACCATAATCATCCTGTCTAAATAGTTGGCTGAGAGTGCTGCTTAGATTTCATACCTGTGGTTAAAAAATTATATGTGCAATTTATCATGGCATGCTTGAACTCTCATAGCTTGAGATAGACTCTGTTAAAGTGAACATTTTATAGTGTATTATATTGTCTACATAGGTATAAGTATATGCAGCAAATGTATTTGTTAAACTTTGTCATTTAACAGTAAAAACACACATGCACAAAAACAACCCACCATGCTATAACAGAATACTTTTCTACATATGGCCAGCTGTACCTTGGCAGAACATAGTGATTTTAAGGATGAATTAGTATTCTAATCTCTTTGGGATTTCTTTTATATTTGTGGTGGTTTACGACTGATGTTTAATGGAACTATAGCTCTGTTTATATTTAATAGAAAATTCATGTCTGTGGCAGGGTACGCATTTACACTCCACTGTTGAATAAAAGCTACTATTCTGTAAGATGGACATAAAATGTTGATTTACAACGACACATTCCAATAACGGTGATCTAATTCTCCCAAACTGTTTCTTCCCAGGTCCTGGGAACAGCACGGCTCCAGCAAAGGATGATTCTTCTCTTCTAGAATATTCAACGTTCAACACGTCTGTCCATGCTGCAATTAGACACGGGAGCTGGAAACTCCTCACAGGCTTCCCAGGTAGAATGCTCAGCATTTCCCAAAACGTGGCATCATAACTTGGGGGCTGCTGAACAATGCACTGAACAAGGAAGAGGCGGGAGTAGAGTGAGCTACTAATCCTGACCCTTTCCCCCTCACCAAAATAAAAAAGAAGAATTAACTAGGAGGAGTAAAAGGAAGAGATGTTACTCTAATGTATCATGGAAAATAAGGATTTCGAATATGTGTGGCTCCCAAGAGACTCTGAAAGCAACATCCTAAACCGATGGTGTAGCTGGTGGGATGGGAGGAGGCTGCTTCCCCTGAGTACATTCTCTAAAAGTGACATCTGTTAAATACTTTTTAAATATGTGGCCTGGTGGTTAATGCTGTGATGCAATTAAGCAGTGTTTATAATGAGGATGTTCTTGGCATTTGCAGCAAGACAATTCTTCATTGTTTGGGACTGCCCCATGTATTGCAAGACATTTTAGCATCCCTGACTGCTAAATGCCAGTGGCACCCCTCCCCCGGCAAAGTTATTGTGATAACTAAAACTCCCACCTCCACACACACACACACACACATGCACACACGCACATTCCTGGGCGCCCCTGGTTGTGAAGCACGGGACATGTCTAGTTGAAGTACCAGAAGTCAGAGTCTGAGACGGATCTAGACACAGCATCAGGGACCCCGTCTTCCTTGTGTGCTCATGCCCACAACCCAGCTCAGCTTTGTCTCCCAAACTCCCTCCTCAAAATTAGAACCTGCCTACCATGCCTCTCCCAATAAACCGTTGCATTTCTTTGCCAGGCTGTGGTTCCTGGTTCCCTCCACCATCTCAATACAATGTTTCTGAGATACCCTCATCGGACCCACCGAACAAGACCCTCTGGCTCTTTGATATTGATAAGGACCCAGAAGAACGACATGACCTGTCACGAGATTATCCCCACATCGTCAAGCAGCTCCTCTCCCGGCTTCAGTTCTACCACAAACACTCAGTGCCCGTGTACTTCCCAGCGCAGGACCCCCGCTGTGATCCCAAGAGCACTGGGGCTTGGGGCCCTTGGATGTAGGATTTCAGGCAGCCTGCGGTGGGGGCGGGGGCTAGAAGACCTTTCTGTTGCAAGTTGGACTTTAGGCCTTTACTAGTGTGACTCTTGTCTCATCCGTTCTCTCAACCTGGGTTCGCCGGGTTCACCAGGCCACTAAACCACACTGAAGTGTCTAATTTCAATCCCTCGTGTATTTAAGAGCTGATAAAATCTAGAACACTCCGGTTGTTGGCTGGGGTGTGTGACTAAAGGAGAGGGTGGCTGGGTCCATCCCGTTTTTCCTGAGCTGTGGGACAGCTGGGAACTTGATCTGGAATAGGAAGTTATTGAGTCCTGGAGGCTGGAGCAGCTGGCTCCTTTTGCCTCACAAGTCAGATGTTAGATTTCCCTCTGCCAATAGCCGGTTTTATTAGAGTGACTCACATTTCTTGTAACAAATGAAGGGAGCAGACAATTGTTAATGGTTCTGCTGGCCAGGGGTTCTCCCTGTCTGTGAGACACAGTGTTCGGGCATTCTGTGTGAATAACCTGCCTTGGTTCACCCCTCGCTCACTCACCTCGTCACTCCCCCATCATGCAGCATTTCGTTGTTAAGGCCAGTATTGGTGATATGCCTACTCCATGGTTCTGATTTTTACAATAAAGAACTATGTTTTTATCCCCAAGTTTCCCCCTCCGCCATCATTCATTGTCTAGAGTTCCTGCTACTCCCAGCTCCTCGTGGTTCTCTTCCTGCTCTTCCTTTTACCTCAGGCGTCCTGTGCTTGCGAAGGCTGCTTTGCTTCTCCCCTCTGAGCACCACTGGTTTGGAAACACTGCTGAGCCCCGCCTGCCTCTTGCCCCTATGCTGGAGCAAGAGCCCTGCCCAGAGACAGTGGCCAAAGCCTGGACGAGTGAGGTGAGGGTCTGTGTCATCTGTTTGGTGAGGATTTTTCTAATTGCAGGGAGTGTATCATAATGAGTGTGGCTTTGTCTCGTATTACAGTAAGAGTTGCACTGCTCTACCCCAGCAGTGAGGAAACATCCCCAGAAACGAATAATACTGTTCTGAGACGATGGAAGTGGGGAACTTGAAAAAGGAAATGGCCAGCATCTGGGACACTGGGCCTCGGTGAAGCCAGGCGGGCACATCCACATTTCTCTTATTCTCTCAGTTTTCCTGCTTGTTTGAGGTTCTGGGGCAGGGCACAGAAGACCTAGCACAGTTTGTCGTGTGCCCGCCCTTTCTCAGTCCCACTTATGTCCTACTGACGTAGATCAGCCCAGATTGGCTCCAAAGAGTAATGTATGCAAAAACTATACACTTTTTTTTTTTGCATTAGCTTCACTGTTTCATTCACTGCTTATCACCAATGCCTGGATCAGTGCCTGGTACATAGAAAGCACTCAGTAAACTTTAAAAAAAAAAAAAAAGAATAAAGGGACAAATAAGCAAATGAGAAAATTTCGCACCATGAAAAGTGCTAGTCCAATTAGCTGAATATGCAGGGTAATATAAATCTCTTCCAACCATTGCTTTTTTCCCTCAAGCTGCCCTCCTAAGGGAGAAGCATCGTCTGCTTATCCGGGTGGTCATAGCACATGCCGTAGTAAATTGTAATGTCCTCTGGTGCGGATATGCCTGCTATAGGCACACTTTGACAATAATCCTCAGTTCTATTTTTCATAAGACCACCAAATAATATGATAGAGGTCCTGGCATAGCCATCCTTCAATTCATTATCAGTATTATCTGGTATTAAAAAACGATGTTTGGAAGGAAATGGTGCTAGAACTAATGACACCAGTTACCAACCTGTACCCCGCTCTTGGGTTGGCAAACACCTGGCCAAAATGCTATTACCTCTCACTCCCAAGCCTGTGGTAGATATTATGAACTTACCGAGAACAGATGTTTCTTCTGGATCTTTTTAATCCCAGGACTGTAGGTAGCTATTAATACTGTCAGATTAGGGGCCGTCACTATGTGACACCTCTTTGCAATCCCTGCTGTACTCACGGTAGCTGTCCCCACTTCTAATTCCTTGATTGCTGTGTACAGTGTAGATATTCGGCATTCAATAGCTTTTAAAGGAATTTTAAAGACTAATTTTTATAAAACTTTTGAAATTTTATTTTATTCATAATAGAATGTATCTCATTAGATTTTCTTTTTTCTGTACCAGAATGCGAACAGATTCATATGTTGTTATGAGAGGTATTAATGTTATTTCTTTCTAAATGTACCGTTAAAGAAGGTTTTTGTTTATTGTTTTTTCTTTGTTACTTGACAATTGTTTTACGTTTAAGGGACAAAAAAATTAAATTTATCTTTCAGAATGTATCATCAGTGCGGGGTTTCCATTTGGGTGATGAAAAATTTCTGGAACTAGATTGTGGTGATGATTGCACAATAACATGAATGAACTTAATGCCTCTGAACTGTATACTTTAAAATGGTTAAAATGAGAAATTTTAAGTTATGTAGTTTTTACCACAATTTAAAAAATGTGTTGTCCCATTTTTATTATGTTTCCTAGTCACCACTGATTCTACTTTTTGTACAAGAGAATAACCATTGCTTATGTAGACTGGTTCATTTTCAGGCCAGCCTGCTCCCCTGCTCACCTGCTCACCTGGCGATCACTCTTACCAGTTGCTGAGAGCAGGTATGTTTAAATGGCATGGAGGTACCCACCACACCTCTTTGACCTTTGCTCCGTTGCCATGGAAGCCACCCCCAGAGGGCACAAAGCAGAGGCGAGTGGTGGCTTGGTTCAGAATTTTGTGACCATCGGGAAACGGGAGAGGGAGTTTCATTCTCAAACTGATTTGCCCAAGTAATCAATCACTGAGCTTTTAATGTATTTAATAATTTTTTTATTTTTCTGATAATAGAGATGTCTCTGTAACAATTTTAGAAAATACAGAAAACTATAAAAGAAAATTAAACAATTCATAAACCACCCACCCAGGGATAGCCACCATTAACCTCCTTTCATACCCCTTAAAGAGAATAATTAAGTGGCCCACTTCCCAAATTGGTTTTCAAATCCCATTTTGCCCAGTCGAGCCCTCATTGGAGACTGAGGATGGTAGATAAATAAAATGGCACCTTTTCTGGAAATCTTCATTTTAATCCCATTAATGAAGTATAGATGTTTGCAGGATTTTTACTTCAAAGGGAGGGGCATGGTTTCGCTCTCTCTCTCTCTCTCTCTCTCTCTCTCTCTCTCTCTCTCTCTCCCTCTTTCTCTTTCTCTCTCTCTCTCTCTTCCTCTCTCTCTCTCTTCCTCTTCCTCTTCCTCTTCCTCTTCCTCTTCCTCTTCCTCTTCCTCTTCCCACCCCCTCTTACTCCTTCTCCATGGGCCTTAAGAGGGGCATGGGCACTGAGGAGCCAGCTTGCAAGCAATCAAACCAGTAAGTAGGCACCTGCCTCTTGTCCACAGCAGAGTCTTGCAGAGTAAAGGAGATAAACACACGCTCCTCCCCTCCTCAGGTAAACGGGACTTATTGTGCTTTTATTTGCAATAAAGTGAATCAAAGCCGGGATTTGCCCTCTATGCCAGTGTTTTGTAGCCAGGATCATTCAAGTTCACACTATGCACTGGGGGCAAGGACGAGGCAGCTGACGGCAGCAAGTGAGGGTACATGGGTACATCGGATCAGGCCTCGCTCCTATGGGCTCACGTCAGGGAGCCCAGCAGACAGGAGGTCCCGGGACAGGGCAGAGGGGAGGTGAAGGGGCTCCTGAGTCAGAGGAAATGGAGCCTTGTGCCCTGCAAAGGAATTCATTTACCTTAAGTTTTGCTTTTTACTTTGGTATACCATGAAACCAGTGAGTTCTTTCCGTATAAGCTATTTTTAAAGTTAAAACCTTTGATTAGAGGATCCTGTTAGGGAAGCAGCTGTTTGGTATGAAAATGTTAACTTGTGGCTTCACAGTAGCCAGCGCTTGAATGCGAGTGTCTTGAGTTTAAGGCTTGAAGGTAATGGAAGTGTGTGGGCCCCGCATCCAAGACGCCGAGCCAAGGAGAAGGGCCCCTCTTAGTGGGGCCTGCATGTGTTCTGTCACTGAGGTCCACAGATCCCCACTTACCCCCCAAAAAAGTGGGTCGAGCTCCCCAGGCAGCAGGGGCCAGGAGGGTACCCCAGCATCCCATAGCTCCGCAGGGCCCAACCCAGACCTCTGTGGCTCACGTAGGCCCTTTCGCTACTGGGAGTCTTAACATGGTGCTTTTCCTTAAATTTACATTCTTTACTAAAATAAGTAATTTTAAGGAACGATGTTTTATCATCATGGCAAAGGGGAAACTAGTATCATTGGTAATCATGAAAATACCCACAATGAATTTAAAATTGCTCTTAAACTTGAACTAGGAACTGTTCTTGAGCTGGGAGGAAAGAAAAAAAAAGAACGAATAACTTTTTCACTAAATGATTCGTTATCACCAGTGCCAGGGCTGTGACTCCGGGACACCCCGATGTGAAGATAAGGAAACTCCTTCCGGGCAGGCACACCCCATCTTCAATGTGTGCCCAGGCCCCACCGTGACAGTGCCAGGTGGCACTCCATGGTGACTGGTGACTTTACTAGGTGATCTAGATGATGAGCTTTTGTCCCCTCCATTGCCCGAATCACAGCTGCTCTTTTCCTAACAGTTTGTTTTGCTCGTGTGCCTGTGGACCCTGAGGCTAGGGACACATTCAAAATGAGTTAAATGTGTAAACATAAGAAGAAACCAATATACACATCCTCTGCAATACAGTAGAAAAATCACAGAGGATTCAACCAAAGGAAGAAGCCAGGAAAGTCAATAAACAAGTTGGTGGAGATGCAACATACAGAGAAAAACTGTTCGGAAGAAATAAACACTGAGAGGAGGAAAAAAGAGACAACATGGGCGTTTCTTGGGTTAAGAAATTCCCTGAGCCTTAAACTCCAGGATTATAATCTATGGTCTCAGAGATCGTAAAGCCACCCTCCCAGAGACTCGGTGTCACCAGTGCTTAGAAACTGCTCCTACTCTTTTGCCTCACCAGCCAGCTCATTCCCCCTAGGTGCCCACGTGGACCTCATCTGGCCTGAATCCACCACAACCTCTTGGGATATTGTAATTTAGCTCATCAGGTATGCCATATCTTGCTAATTATAGGGGCAAGGCAAAGAATTAACCTTCACTGAGGACATGCTGTACGCCAAACACCATTTGACTTTTACAACGGCTGCTAAACTCACAGTAATATTTAATCATTGGATAAATGGTTTTACCATTTTAAAAATTATCTTGCATGAAGTCACAGCCAGGAGAGTTGGAAATGGAATCCAGATTGCTCTTAAAAAGCCCCGCTCTCTACTGTTCTCTTCAGCAACGTGCAGTCTTGGGCTTCCTTCCTTTTGTCCTGTGCCTTTAAGGGCAGAGGATAGTTTGTTGGAAGTCCAGTTTTTACAAATAGGACCCAGGGAGCCTCCGGAGTGAACATCAACCTGGCAGAGGGCCTGGGCTGAGTGGGGGCCGGGGAAGCCAGTGAGGAGGTGAGTGCAACAGTTTAGCCAACAAGAAATGCCAACTAAAGAGGTATGCAAGTAGGAGGATAAAAAGCTAATGGGAGGCTTATAAATTTTAAAATAAGTTGAAAGGAGTTGGAATTACTCAGCCTGGAAGAGACTTTATTAAGATCGCCTTTCCACACACAGGTCTCGGAGGCTAGTGGCCATCTATACCTTTGTCTCAGTGAATGCAGACACAAAACCGACAGCACAATAACTGATATGAAGGAGAGGCAAGATTTTCAGGTGGGTTCTTAAAGCTCACTGCAGCTTTTGATGATGGTGCTGGCTTCAAAATTTATTGTTGTGTTCTTGAATAAGCAGTTGGCATCAACTGGTCTTTAATCGTTAGTTACAATCAGTTACCATCTTGCTAAATTCTGGAGGAGGTGGTGGTTCCTACCAGCCACCCTGACTACACTTTTTTATACAAAATCGGTAGAACATCATTCGTCTTCTGTGTTTAAGGCTCTGAGATGAAGAGTAACAAACGCTTCAGATCCATAGACTATCTCTTAAAGTTCTATTTGTAATGATTTATCTCTGAAGATTAGGATGAAATAAGATAATGCAGAAATTAGCCTGTATGTGTGGACTTTATAAGGAATGTTGCTTTGTGAGGGTCTCTCCTTGAAAAGAGGAACAAAAAATGACTGTGTATAGGTTCAGATAGTACGTTTTCATTTAAAATGTTATGTAAATTGGAGAGCTTTGTATTGGTCAACAGGACCTGATTAGAGAGATGCTTTGATTTCTATAGTTGGTTAAACTTAGTTGCCTTAAATATAAAGTTAAGTGGCTGAGCCATAGGAATTATGCCTACAACTCATCTTTCTGATTGGCAAGGGAAAATGTCAGTGAGAGAATTCTCTGCTTCTTTCAAAACAGCCTGGGGGGTTGCGGTGCGGTGGGGGTCTGCTCCCTAAGGCCAGATCCGGGCTGGTGCTACAGGAGGACTGTGCTGCTGTGGTTTTCAGACTCGGTCATGCCAGTGATTATCCTTGTGCAAACCCACCTGGTTACCGAGCAGAGCAAAGCCAAGGTCTAGCTAATCCATCCCCAGCAGGGAGACAGCTGGTCTTGGGGACCAGGATGGCAGAATGGAGAAGTGAGAAATTGGTGCCGTTAGTTGGTGCCTCCGCTGTGCTTTCACTAAGGTTTTACACATAATACCATCCGTGAATAGAACTTGACCTTACTTTGTATCAGTACTTAAATTATACAACTTTTAAAATTGTGCTGGTTTGACAGGCTTTAAAATGCTACATTGTTTTGTATTTCAGTGCCTGGAGATTGGATTTTCCCTATATTTATTGTCCCCATGGCTCTTTTTTGAGTGGCCTGATCAGCCCTATCCTCCCTCTGCAATCTAGAGCATGGGACGGGGTAGGACAGGAGCCCCAGCTGAGAGAGTAGTGCAGGAAGAAGCCCAGCCTTTGTTTGGACCTGAACCATCATCTCAGCTGGGGCTGCCAGTCCCTCTTCCAGGTGGAGCTTTTTGAGTGGTTAATTGCCTCTGCTTTAATTCAGCCTTTGGAACTGTGGCAGGAGGCAGGGAAAAGTAAAGAGATGGAGAAGGAATAGGCAAGGTCCTTCCCCTTTCTTATGGACAGGGCCAAACTGAGACATGTGAGCCCTCTGGGTAGGCTCATAATTTGGTGCTCCTTCAAAGCGATGGTTTTTTTTCATATTGGAATATTAATCTGAGAGTACTGGGGGAGGGGTAGGAGACAGCTGGAAAGAGAAGGCAGCCTCCCAGTCATTCCCCTGTGATCCCAAACTCAGCAAGTCT